CTAACTGTCCCGAGCACGTGAAGTCTGAAATTAAGGCATCCATGTTGAAAAAAAAGATTTAAAGGAACAGTTTAATGATATATCAAATGTCAACCTTACTGAAGAAGGAGAATACTTTGATGTGATGATAGATGATATTTTAGTTGCTAAACCATCCAAAATGTTGCGGACAAATAAATCTAACACATCTAGTTAAGGGTCGACATCTACATCTATCTTCAAAACATCACGACCTAAAGGTCCATTAGATACTTTTATTACACCAAATCCTAAAGATGTAGTAAAGCATATAAAATGTTAGTTTAACAAAGAAATGAATGCAGCTAAAAAAGAAATGAGGGGAAGGGCTGTTCAAGTGTTCAGTAGATGGATGTACGATGGTGGGATTCCATTTAATGCTGTGATCTATGATAGTTTCCCTGCTATGGTGGAGGCACTTGGGCAATTTGGACCTGGTATAAAACCTCCTAGTTATCATGAGGTACGAGTTACTTGTTTAAAGAAAGAGGTTGGACATACACATGAGCTATTGCGACGCCATCAGGAAGATTGTGTACGATATGGTTGTTCTCTAATGGCGGATGGATGGAAGTCGAGGAATGGAAAAAGCTTAATCAATTTTCTTGTTAATTGTCAAGAGGTAGTGCATTCATAGAATCAATTGATGCTAGTTCTTTCTCCAAGAATGCTATGAAATGTTTGAACTTTTTTACAAGTACATCGAGGTTATTGGACCACATAATGTGATCCAAGTGGTCACTGATAATGCATCCGAAAATGTTCTTGCAGGTTTTTCACAACTTTTATTCTAAAGTTATGTTATTTCATGATGAATTTGTATATATCTTAACTTTAATTATAATGACATAACAGGAAAATTATTGATGGACAAATATCCTCACATTTATTAGACTCGTGCTGCTCACTGTTTGGATTTAATAATGGAGGACATTTTCAAAATTCAAAATCTAAGGCGATGCTTTGAGAAAGCAGTGACAGTACATAGTTTTATATATTCCAGACCTCTTTTACTTGAGTTAATGAGAAGGTGCACAAATCAAAGAGCACTGGTCAAACCCGCAAAAACTCCCTTTGTAACAGCTTTGTTAACTTTACAATGTTTTTATCAACAACAACTGAACTTGAAGAAAATGTTTACTTGTGAGGAATTTATCTTGGGTCCTTATGCGAAAGAGGCTAAAGAAAAACAATCTCAACATACAATCTTTCACCAATCATTTTGGAACACTATAGTGTATGCCTTAAAAATAGCTGGTCCTTTATTAAAGGTTCTTAGATTGGTTGATGGAGAGAAGAAGCCCCCAATGACTTACATATATGAAGCAATTGATAGAGCAAAAGAGGCAATTGCTGCAAGTTTCAATAACAGTGATAAGTATGATCAAATTTTTAAAATGATTGATAGAAGATCGGAAGTACAATTACATCGGCCTCTACATGCAGCGGGACATTTTTTAAATCCTGAATATTTCTTCAATAACCATGATATTGTTAAGGATAAGGAAATAGCTGATGATCTTTACCAATGTATTGGAAGATTATCTCAAGATGTAGCTGAAGAAGATAAAATCAGTAATGAATTAAGTTTATACATTAGGGGTGAAGGACTTTTTTGTATTCCTCAAGCTGTAAGACAAAGAACTACCCGATCTCCAGGTATCATTATTTAAAAAAAAATTAAGACTGATTTGTTATATAATATTGAAAAAAAAATTTCCAGCTGATTGGTGGTTGGCATATGGACAAGGAGCTCCAAATTTACAAAGCTTTGCTATCAAAGTCCTAAGTCTAACATGTATTTCATCTGGATGCGAACGCAATTGGAGTATTTTTGAACATGTTAGTATTTTACAATGTATGTGTTGATTTTTTATATATGTTCATAATATAGTAATGTAATAATATTTTAATTGCAGCTTCATAGCAAACGAAGAAGTAAATTGGATTTTTAATAATATTTTATATTCATGCTTATTATTTATAATTTTTATATAGCTTGCGCCATGTTCAAAATAGTGCGCGCCGCGCCGTGCGCTATGCGCCATGGCTCCAAAGAGACCTTTGCGCCATGGTGCGCCATTCGCCGTTAACAGGTATGGTCATATGCATGATAATTGTACAAGTTCTCTTAAGCATCATTACTTACCTATAGGCAATATTTTTACCAATATAAGAGATACTTAGATAGATATCACTTTGTGTGAGAAATTAGGTATGGGGCTTATAATCACACAAACCATATAATTCACCTATATTTAAACTACATTCATACTACTATTATGTACTTAGATGCTTATGATCTTAATGAAACATGTTTAGAAATCCATAAAATTGATTTCAAAATGATTAGGGATGATTTGTAACTCTTAATGTGAGTTTTTTATATTCGTGATATATCTTCTAGGCATAATCCATGCATGTTACACATGTTATTTTTTTTGGCTTTATAGATGTCATGGTGGTGTGAAATGGAAAATGTTATGGGAAGAATATAACTGGCTAAGGTTTAGATGTGCATACCATTAAAAATGTAGCTTTGATACTAAATTGATGTAGGACTTTTGACCTTGATGGTAATCATCTTATTTTCTTTTTTGATTGTTTGAATTTCTTTAATTTGCTTAATTCCATTGAGAAGAGGATGGTATCCTCGTTGTAGAAGAACCGAGTCTTATTTTTGTTGACCTTCGTGTAAAGAACAAAAAAAAAAGAGAGCAGCTCACCTCGTATCTGTCGAGGAAGTCCATAAAATCAGCGGATATCCCGCTGAATTCGGCGTTACACATGTTATTTTTTTTGGCTTTATAGATGTCATGGTGGTGTGAAATGGAAAATGTTAAGGGAAGAATATAACTGGCTAAGGTTTAGATGTGCATACCATTAAAAATGTAGCTTTGATACTAAATTGATGTAGGACTTTTGACCTTGATGGTAATCATCTTATTTTCTTTTTTGATTGTTTGAATTTCTTTAATTTGCTTAATTCCATTGAGAAGAGGATGGTATCCTCGTTGTAGAAGAACCGAGTCTTATTTTATCAGTTTTCTGGAACTTTTTTAAATACAGAAACAGGAGAACTTTGGGATGCATGAGATTGAAATGCAGGGAATGTCATTAGCGGGGAGAGGGAGAAGAGAGATTTGTTGGAGATAATAAAACCAGATTAGGAGAGGAGATAAATTATTTGGGAGATGTCTTTTCATTTCCTTTATAATTCATTAATAATCCAGATAATGCCTATTTGTTGAAATATAGTTAATGCTTAAATCTAGATAAATTCTTAAAGTCCTATCATCTAATTCAAAGTAAAAATTATCCTAACTGTAAAATAAAATCTTAAATTAATCAAACCGCTTGAATATTCTAATAATAAATTTTTGAAGTGCATCACTTGGTAATGTTTCACTGGGGCTTGGATGTTTGAAGCAGTAAAAGCTTGAATTGTATTGCATTTTTCCTCTTAACCATTTCAGTTCGTCTACATTACAATCTTATTATGCACTGCTAATTCCTTATGTCAAAAGGAATTTTTAGGGCCTGAGCTAAGATAAAAAGAGGAACCGTCAAATTCTTAAAACTGTTTTAAACCTTGCCCTCTTCCTTCCTTTCATTATCCAGCTATGTTGCACGGATACACCTATTTATGAAGGCGTGCTGTATCCGATACACCGATACACGGATACGCCTCCGATACTCCACCAATACGTGTCGGATACATCAAAGACGTATCCAATTAAAATACTATTTAATTTCAAAAGGACATGCGTATCCGATACACATGTCCGTTGAAAAGCAAAAAAAGAAATCCGAAAAAAAAGATGCATCGTATTTACTTTCGCGGCTGCAAGCAAAGTTCCCACATTTCCGAGATGGATTTGAGTCTCTTGATGATATGAGAATATTAGAAATTACTAATCTTTCACTTGATGAGCCTGAATTAAAAGCTATGATATTTATTGAAGATGATATAGAAGTTCAAAGACAAACCACTGAAGAAGCTAATCATATCATTCCTTCTATTGAATAGTTGAAACTTTATGTGCTATACAATTTATGTTTATGCTTTTGTTGTTGTACTAGACATTTAATGCTTACTTATATTTTGATTTTATAAGCTACAAGGCAACAAATGATGTTGTTGTCATTTTTTTTTGTAATTTCAAATATTATATTTTGATTGCTTTCTTAATTTTTATATATGATTTATAAATTATGATGCTGTGTCCGCGCCGTACCCGTATCCTATATTTTTAAGAATTGACATGTCCCGTATCTGTATCGTGTCGTATCCGTGTCGCCGTATCCGTATCGGTGCAACATAGTTATCCAGCTATAACTGCCTTATAAAAAATTGTCCCGATCATTCCAACATATAGCTCTATGAACCTAATCGGACATCTTTAGCGTGGCTTAGTGTACTATACTAACTGCCTTGTTTGGAGCGACTTTACCTTGTAGCACCTGATTTGTTGCATGATTAGAATGCGGATGTCTCTGCTGAAGTAATATAAGCACAATATTTAATTTTACTTTAAACTATGTAGCATTTTATCTTTGCTCAACATCAGTTCATGCTAAATCATATATTCTCTCTTCTTTTACCAGAAATGACCTATGGGCACTTGGGTGTACCTTGTATCAGATGCTTACTGGATCTTCTCCCTTTAAAGATGCTAGTGAGTGGCTTATCTTTCAGAGGATTATGGCTAGGGATCTTAAGTTTCCTGACTACTTTTCGGATGAAGCAAGAGATCTAATCGACAAGTTATTGGTGAGAAATTTCACTTGCAATTTCCTTTTATCTACTGGAAAAGCTATTGCACAATTTCCTTATAAGCTTAACTCCTATTTTTAATGTAATGTATGTGTTCTTGAAAGAGTTTGGTGGTGGGCTTTTGTAGGATTTGGATGGTGGTTTGTGTTATTATGTGGAATATTCTAGGGCTGGTGAGGTAGTGATGTGGTTGACCCAACCCAAAAACCCTACCCAGAAATTTCGGTAGGGTTGGTTGAGAGCTACACAGAGGGATTCAAATAGAAACAACAACAGAAGAGCATATGGTTAACTAGGATAACCCAAAGGGTCACCAAAGAACTTCAGGAATCACAGAAATTATTAACTTCGAGGAATCACAGAAATTCTTGCAGCACTCATAAAGAGCTCTGAAGGATTTAAGAAATCCACCATGTTATCTTCTCAAAGAGGCTTGAAAACAAGCACGAATAATTTTTATTTCTCTTTAATTGATTCATCAAGGTTACAGAACAGTTGTTTATATAAAGAAGTACATAACATAACCTGCTAAACATAAGTTGCCGAACACTACTGTTATGGATGGTATAAAGATTGTATAATACAATATTTATTTTGTAATGAAGGGAGGAGCATATTAGGAAGCTAGAGTATTGATACAACGCCCACTGTTCCAAAGTCTTCGTCTTCTACTCGCTTGGCGGGTCCCACATCAGCTCGCTTGAGGAAACATAGACTATGTTTTCTCACAGCAAATACCTTTTTTCCTAATAATGTAATTCACAAATACTTAAATTTGTCCAATTTTCTCTTACCTGCCCCTTAAAGAGGTGCTTGAGAGCTCATGCCATCCTCAGTAGAAGCGATGTCACAACCTCTGTTGTTGGGCACCTTAATGCTACTCACCCCTTTAGTCGCATTCTAAGAGGCTCATCCTCCTCATCATGTGGTAGAAAGATCCTCACAGGAAGATTGACATCACCAGCTGTGGCGGGCTTGACATCGCCGGTCACCGCAATCGACACGACTTTGATTTCTGCCGCTGTCAAACCCGAATCGGGTCGGGTCGGGTTGGCCAGAACCTGAAGCGGGTCTGGTTCGGGTCCGAAATACTGACTCGTATGCCAAAACGGGTCGAGTTCGGGATGCATGAATAGTGTCAGGTCTGTTCTGGGTTAAACCCAAATCCGATCCGTGACTCGAAATTGACACCCCTACCTCAAGGTCATCCTTACTCTTCTTCATATGTGGGGCAGCGATGAGTTCGTAGTTGTCTTCAGCACCACCTAGGTGCTTTTTTTTGACTTCTTCACTCAATGAGATCTCAGTCGCATTTCTCTTAGACCTCTCAACTCACCCTTGACGAAAGGTGACCTTCTTTGTGGCTCTCACATGAGATCTGGCTATCTTGACAGGGTTCATTCTGTCAAGACTCAAAGGTTCTCATATTATCAAAGCATAAGTAAAGATTTCACAATGCAAACCACCTATTTATAAGGAGCCAAGTGGAAGGTTGTGTCACATGACTAACATCAATGTGAGGTACACAATCATTGAGGTAAAAGTAGGGGGCAATAACTCTACATTTACTTTCATGTTCATGCTTGGTTGTCGCATTTAATATCATTTACTCTTCCTTTTCGTCATTTTTTCTATCAAAGAGTTAAGTGAATCAAGGAACTAAATATATGCTCACATATACCTTCTCAATTATCTATTAGGTAGTCAATGGGTTATGATAGTGGAACTCGCTTAATGATCCCGAAGGCACTACTTCTTAATTTGCAGGAAAATTCACTTAACATGATTAACATGCACCACTCACTATGGCCTGTCAGGGAGCTATCGAATCGAGGATTCATCATCAAGCTAGCAAATCAACACCCAACATGCATTTGAATCACCATCTTAGTCACCCGCTCTCTCCCAAAGCGATCATTCTTATCCAAGCTCAGCCACAAGAAAATGCCTATTCATGGGACTCTCAGTTCATCTTGTCGTGACTGACTATCCTGTTTTCTATCCCTTCTTGCAATAACTTCTTACTCACCTCTCTCTCATCAAGCGATCCATGTTCTCTCACACAAGTTGCTAGCAACATCACTAAGCCCACTGGTTGTAGGTCCCCCCATCTCAACACTAACCCACAGACTCACCCTAGCTTTCTTACCAATTTGACATTACTGAGCTCACCCAAAGACAACTTGTTGGAGTCCTTCCAACCTCACCGCCCTCCTTCAACCAATAGGGAGATGACAGATGTCTAGGGTGGTTTGTGTATTGTTATGCATGTGTTTTGTGGGGCATAGTACTTTTAGTTTTTGGGTGTAACCTTTCATGTAGCCCCTTAGAACCATATAAATATGGGGTGATAAGAAGTAGTTGAGGACTATTTATTTCCTTACAAGTGGATCCTTTGCTAACTTGAGATTTATAGTCTTGAGCATTCTATATATATTCTCTCTTCCTCTCTAGTTATACTCTCCTCTCTCCATTCTCATACAAGTTCTAGCTCGCTCACTTAGTGGGTAGGCTTGCTAGTAAAGTCAGGTGTCACCCACGGACACATTCAGATCCAACAGTTGGGGTTCGACGTTGCTCGAATATGACATTCACAATGTGAAGGAGAAGATTGCACCTTCTTTTCCAAGCTATGACTCGATAGCTTGGTTCGATGTAGTGCAGTCTTGATTTACCTAGTAAAATTTTTGCATTCTATAAATAGCCTCTTGCCATCCATGTTTACCTTTAATTTATTAATTTTTTTCGTTAAAAATTAGCTATGACACTATTTTGGTTCCTTTTTGAAGAGTCAATGAACTTTTATATAGTAGGAGACTATTTGGTCATTCAGAAAGAGTCAGAGGATCAATTTAGTTCTTCGCTCCCTCTCTCTCTCTCTATATATATATATATGTAAGAACTTTATAACCTTCTACGTTTTGCGATTCCGGTTTGTATGACTGGTAAATGCATCTACGCAGATAAATTCTTAAGGAATTTGAAACTGAGGACAACAACACATTTTATTTGCTCTTGGAAGCCTATAGTGTTTATTTTCCAATAGAATTTTTTCTAAATTGCTCAACATGCTTTTAATCATGATTTTAGTTTAATATGTACCAAGCATTAGAAGCATACTTAAAAATCTTACTCATCCTCTGACAAATTTATTGATGTCAGCAAAGCTATCAGATTGGTTAGTTTACGCCTTCAAGTCATATTATAATGGAGGAAACTCTTGCTAAAAACTTCAATTACGTGCTCTGCCCTTCTTTATGCTCTTATTCTTCTAATTTTGACCAGAAATACTCCTTTCTTGTTAATATTCTTTAAAGTTTAACCATATTAACTCCATTGTCTTTCGCCTAATCCTTCTGCAAATTATGATGTTATAAATATTTGTGGTGCAGCGATCCCACATAGTGGGATAAGGGGTGGTTGTTGTTGTGAGAGATAACATACTTTTAAAAGGTGTCTTATTGCATGCAGGACATAGAACCCACGAAAAGACTTGGTGCTGGACCTCAAGGTTATGCTGCCCTCAAGATGCATCCCTTCTTTAGGGGAATTGATTGGAAAAACATAAGGAAGTCTGCTGCACCAAAGCTTGCTCCAGAATCAACTGTACTGACAGTTTTCAACCATAGCTTCTTTTCATATACTGCGTGACTTTTTGTCATTTTCCATAGAAACAGGTTTACTGGAACCAACTAACTGTCTTAGGTTTCAGGTGGTGGAGGATGATGATCCCCAGGGTTCCACATGGAACTTATCACATATAGGTGATGGCTGTGTGCCTCAGTTACCACCAGTTGATGCAAGTTTTAACAGCGCTACATCATCTTCTGAGACACAATCACATATATCCAAACTTTCTAAGATCGACTCATTTGACTCCAAATGGTGTGTGCCAATGGTTCCATATTTTACTTTCTCACCTCTCTCTACTTCCACCAGAAGCTTTGTTGGTTCAATGGATATTTTTTTTATTTTTTTTTTATTTTTTTTTTCAATAGATAAAATTCTGAACATGTTACTGATTTAAGTCTTTTATCTTTTTTTTGCATGATCAACTATTCTCTTTTCATTATACATTTTTTTAATATAAATTATTCTTTTCAATCATTGATATGCTTGCATTTTGCTCTTCCCTTGTTCTAATGGAAGGCAAGAGTTCCTGGAACCTGGGGAGAGCATTGTTATGATCTCGAAGTTGAAGAAATTGCAGAAACTCACCAACAAGAAGGTGCAGTTGATCCTGACTGATAAACCAAAGTTGGTATGCGTGGATCCTTCCAAGGTCATGTCCAAGGGAAATATAATTTGGTCCGGTAACTCTAGAGACATGAGCATCCATGTGACGAGTTCCTCGCATTTCAAGATTTCAACTGTATGTTTCTTCAACTAGAATTACACAATTCGTATGAACTTGGCTATCTATTCAGTTGAGTTAAATATTTGAAATTGCTAATAGGAACAGGGATGGTATATATCTGCGCATGAGTGTCCTTGTAGTTTACCTAGTTTGCATGGTTGAGTTTTCTTAAATTGATTTCAGTCATTTTTGTCTTACAGCCAAAGAAGGTCTTATCATTTGAGGATGCGAAGCAGCAGGCATGGCAGTGGAAGATAGCCGTTGAGAGTTTTCAGAATCACTGAAACAGAAAAACAGTGACTCGTTCAGAAAAAGAAAGGCCAAGTATCTGCCATTGGTAGTTAACCTGGCTGAATGGAAGCTAATTTCTTTGCTGATCGATCCCCTGAAAGTATAACAAATGCAAGTCTTGGTCTAAAAGCAGCCATCATCACGAAACGGCGGTTATTTTATCTTATTTTTTTTAATGTTTGGTAGAGAGATTTTCCTTGATCTGGTGAGTTTCTGTTTGTTTTGCAATGGGATGCCTCCATAATTTGAAGGGAAAAGAAAATTAAAGACGTTTTTTTTTTGTTTTTGCTGATCTTTTCTTGTTGGGCGCAGTCAAATTGATGGCTCAACATGGATCTATATTTGAAGTCCTTTTGTTACTTCCGTCAAAACTCTAAGCTATGCATTGTATGTCTTCCATTTGATTTCGTTTTCATGACTGCTGAAACTGCTATTTTGATGGAAGTCTTCAAAGTTTTTCTGAAATATTTATGCTTGGCCTGTAACCTAATAAAAGATCAGCTTTAATGTTTGACTATCTTTTGAGGAAATTTGCATGCGGGGCTTGATCATTTGGGGAAGCAAGCTTGTCTCATGATGCGAAACAAATATGCCCATAAAAGAAGCGGTAGACCAATAATTAGATCTCAGAGCAAGAAGGCCGATAATTATCAAGATTTTATTATGAGAAAAATTAAAGTTATAAGGTAGAGTTTATATTTTATGTGTATTGATTATTATTTAAGATTATGCATTCATAATTTTAAATTTGTGGTTGCAAGTAAAATTATAAATTTTGAATTTTAAATTTTGTGGATTCAAAATATTAAAAATTTAAAATTCCATTGTCAAATATTGTGTAAAAATTGGTTTTTTTGTTAATGTTAAAATGCTAATTTGAATAAAAGAATTCAAAGAAACATTAGTCAAGTAAGGTTGGTTGCCTAAAGAAAAAAAAGTAGATATTTGGTGGTTACCTCCCTCTCTTAGGCTCAATAGTGTGAGTAACCTGACTCTTTTTTGTTTCAGGTGACCTCCCTCTCTTAAACTTATGTTTTGTTTAGGGTGGTTTTCTTCTGCTTCTAAAAATAAATTTTTAGTAGAAAATTTTAATTTTTTTTACTAAAACGTTGTTTTATGAAGCTGTAGTAAGAATGTCCTCCCAAATGTAGTCTCAGGATAGTTTTTTATTATTTTCTAAAGTTGTTTTTAAGTATAAAAATTATTTGTTCAAAAAATTTTTGTACGAAAAAATTATATTAGAAATTAGTAAGAAAATTGTCCCAAATGAAATTTTAATAGTGTGATTGATGTCTATTTTTATCGTGTTTTGATGCATTCAAAATTTAGTAATTGCACATCTATTTATATCTGCTGGAATAAAAAGTGAAGTGCTTTTTATTGTGGTGTAAAAATTGATTTTATTTTAAAGAAGATGGGGTTTTGGTGGTGGTCTTAGGTTTTGTTTGTGATGATTTCCTTACTTTCTCTTGAAGCAGATATCTAGTACGAAAATTAAAATTTTCGTGCTAGAAAACTACTTTAAGAAACAATAAAAAAATCCACCCAAATGAACCTTTAATCGTTTAAGGAGTTTGGTGATTCCTTCAAACATTATCACGTTAGTGAATGATAAGTTTTAAAATATCCTTAAGTTCTATCAATTTGAACTCTTCTACACTTCTCTCTTCCCACTACTATACGAACTAATCTTCCATTTTTTCCCCTAAAATTCATTGAAATGTCTTATAAGGCCTCTCAACCAAGGCTAAATTGAAATGACTTAGTTTGCTTACGTTAAAGTGAAGTTTAAAAAAATTTTAAACTTCATTTTAAACATATTTTAAAATTTTTACGGCAAGCAATCATTTTAAAAGGTGAATCGAGAATGAATCTTAGCAAAATGCTGAACAAGATGTTCATTCTTTGAGTTGAGATTTTTCTCAAATTTATCACTCTAATAAATGGTTGCGAAGGGTAGATGAATTTCCTCTTTAAATTTTATAGAAAATTGGTTTCACTTGAATATTTTAAATTTTGTTAATTTTTTTTTTTTATATTTTCATATTTTTGTTTTGAATTATGCCAAAATAAAATACATAAGGATTTAGGCACATTTAAAAAAACACTTCCATCTTGAAATTCTTTTTAAGGATTAGACTTATAAATTGAATTCATTTTTCTTTTAGCCTATGCAACATTCTTAAACCCAAAAATTTGAACTTTGATGTACTGGTTGGAGTATGTGTGGGTATTTTTTTCACCTTTCGAAAATATTTAAAATTTTTTAATTTGTAATATAATTTTAATATTTTTACAAGCTTGCAAATACAAGAATTTAAAATACATTTGTTGTAGCATTCTTAGAAATAATATTTTAACATTTGTAATATTTGTTGCGCTTCATGCACACGTTTTATTTTTAAAAGTGATTTAAATTTTTAAAATTTGTTGAGAAGTTTTAAAGTATTTATATACTTTTTGAAGTGGGAAATTTAAAATTTATTTTTTATTTTTTAGCCTACGTAGTATTATAAGACATTTCATTTAGGTAATTATCATATTTGTCTCGGCAAATGCAGACTTTTTATTTGAAAAGGTGATTGTCAATAGAGGCACATCATGTACTAGGGTATTAATAGTGCATTTGCAAGTCACACTTGAAAGGTTTGACATTTAGTGAGCTTGACACATTTTTGTACATTTCTCTAGTTATTTTAATAGAATTTGAATGTTAACTCGTGATGCATGCACATGTTCTAAAATATCTCAAGTTTGTTATTTAACATGCCTTCAGTATTCTTGCATGAATTTCAAGATGTAATATCAGAGTAGAGATCACCTTATAAAATTTGCATAAGTATCAATATTATCACATTTTTTATTTTTTTTGCATCTTTATTTTGTAATTTAGAATTTTTTAACAATCACTTTATGTTTTCTTGCACAACAATTTATTGACGTGGTGGGAAAGAGGATGAATTTAAGTCAATTTGGACTGACACATTTTTCACATGTCAATTTTTTATCATCTTGTTAATATGATTTTAATTTATCCCTGTGGATCCCATGGGAGCTCACTCTTACTCTATAAATATGGAGGGAGGGATAGTTCATTTTCATGTCCCTTGAGTTCATTGCTTTTGTTTCTTGAGGGATTTTACCACAACTGTCAGGTAATGCTTAGATTTAATTAATTTGCATGTTTTTTCTTAATTCCTTATAAGTTGTATATTATTTATTGATTATTATGTAATGTTTTATTCTCTTAAGAATACCAACCTAGTATTTTTAATTCTTGATTGTGCATTCATTATTGCATTTAACTGAATTTTCTTTTATATTTTGAGTCCCATGCATGCATTTTTTAAAGATTCTAGTTAGTCCAAATTCTGATGCCCTCATTGTAGTTCCTTACATAGACAGAATCTTTGGGCTTACATCACATGTTGAGAAGGCATGTATGGTCGGTGTCCTATGGCATTGCATTCGGAATTAAAAAAAAATCACTCTAAGAAAGGTATATATGGGATACCTGCATGGGAGTTTGAAAGTAAATTTCTTGATCACATCATAATTATTACTAACAAGTTTTTTCCTGCCAAGCCAAGAAAAGTTTGTATTTAGTTCCACTCATTGTGTCAAGCGCATTGCAAATAAGATTTATCCATGCTGTCACGAATGTTGCTAACGGGTTTCCTCCAACCAATCTAAGATAAGTGTGCTTGAGGCTCCACTCTCTATGCCAAACATATTAATAATAAGGTTTAAAGAGTTCACCAATTATGTTGCAAATCTCATTGATGAATTTCCTATCATCATGCTATGAAAAGCTTGCATGAGACTCTTCTCATCGTGCTAAATACATCGGCAAAATGACTATGAAATTGGACCACAAGGCAATAGGTATTCATGCAAATAAAGGTGTGGTCAGCTATATGTGCAGGCTAGTGGTGGATGATTTCTTGCAATGTCATGCTCATAATTCATCATTGTTCAATCAAGACAAACATGAGGGGAACATTTTAGTAATTTAGTGTTTTGCGTGCATCAAAAAAGTCTATTTCCAAAGTAAATGTAATTTGGGTGATTTTGCATATTGCCAGGGCATGTCAAAATTATTTTAGATAATATTAAATTAGTAGACCATCTTTCTCATTGAACATGTTTGAATTATTTTTAAAATACACATTAATGGTCAACAAATGACTCCCAATAAATTTGGTGCGTGCTAGTGTGGACCATGTTTATTTGAAATTTGTTGACACTACAAATCTCCAAATATTGGTTTTGGGTGTGATGCCAAGGGTTTTGATTTTGATGGGTCTTTAAAAATATATATACATAATAATGAAAATAACATATTTAAACTTTGGTGTGTAGGCATTATTATTGTAGGCTAATTTCCTATGGACATTACATCTTTCCTTTTGTAGAAAAACTTTGCTTTTTGAACTCCAATTTTGAACACTTGGGAGTTATTGGCAACCCCATATTTCATGCATAATAGATTTTTGTCTTAATTTCATTAAACATGTTTTGACATGATGCCTCCATTTTTTGTCATGTGACTTTATTTTCTTTTTCTTTATAGGAAAATATTTAGTTGGAAAAACATATTAACATGTTGCATGGTGCGCCTACTAAGAGGCTATTTGGGCCAAGATAGACTTGCATGATCCTCTATGAGTTATTGAGGTTGACGGTAGGCTCGAGCGACATGAGAAGATATTAAGGAGTGACAAGATTTATGATAACTTCTTCACATAGTCTCCTTCACATCCCTCATTCAAGATCACTCTTTCATTCGTCATAAGGCTTTGCAGTGGGTGACTACCCATAAAATGCAGTGTGGGATGAGATTTAAGTTGTGCAATATTATAGATCTAGTTGCTAACACTGTTAACTGTATTAGCCTCAAGATTATTGCTTGGCACATTCTATAGAAACATGGAAACACTATATATCAAATAATGGTTTACAAGGATGTATATGTTGCAAACTAGGAGCTTGACCTTGTGTTTTGATGATTATAAATATTTTTGGTTATTTATTTAGTTTGTCTTGTTTTATATATTGCATATTTTTTTTGTGTGCACCCCTAAAATTTCATGTTCAACATACACAAAGTAGCATTAAGTAATTAGAGCTAAAAAAAGTGTTGCATATGTTAGACTTATTTATAAAGAGTCTTTAATTTTAATTTTTCTTTGGTCAATGCATTTAATAAAGTGCATGCCATCTTCAACAACCATTCACACTCATAAGGATGAACTTTGGTTCATATTGTATGATCTGATGTATGATTTGAAGTAGTTGTATTGGATGATTACTAATCATACATGATGATCTATGATGGTGTTAAGCTATTCATTCTAAATAATCCATAAATCATACGATGCAAAAGAGTCGACAAGATTTAATAATCAAAGTTTTTAGAAGCCCACTATTTAAGCTCTT